CCACCACTCTGTAATCACGTCCGAATATAAAACACGGTATGGCTGGAACTGCAAAAGGACCAAGCCCGGCCCACCAGGCGCGCGGAGGCTGCTGTCTTACACCGACCACACTCCTGCCTCCTTCTAGGGGAGGCGAAAAGCCAGCCGAAGAATCCTCTCCCTTTCCTGCTTTGCCTCCGATCTCATCCGGGCCAGAGTCCTGCTTCCTGAAACCATCCACGAGTCACCCACCACGAGCCCAGCCTGCTCAGCCTCCCTCACACCCTCTTCCTGAGGCAAATCACGGGGCGCAAGCTGCGCATTCTTCCTCCCCTGCCCCGTAATCACCCCACGGGCTGTCCCTGGGAGGCACTTAGAGGCCAGCTCATGGGCTGCTGTCACCCGCACCGCAGTGATGCATTCCCAAAGCTTTTTAAATACATGCCATGCTCCGGGAGTTTCCCTTTACAAGCAGGACAGCAGAACTCCAGGGAGTAAGAGCTCGGCCACGGTGGGGGGGGGGGGGGGGGGGGGGGGGGGGGGGGGGGGGAGGGGGGGGGGACCCAGCAGGGAGCGTGAAGCGAGGTGGAAATTCGCATTTGATTCTAAAGTGGGGTTTATGTGGGGCTGGAGTGATAGCACAGCGGGTAGAGCGTTTGCCTTGCACGAGACCAACCTGAGTTCGATTCCCCGCATCCCATATGGTCCCCCGAGCACTGCCAGGAGTAATTCCTGAGTGCATGAGCCAGGAGTAACCCCTGTGCATTGCCGGGTGTGACCCAAAAAGCAAAATAAATAAATAAAAAATAATGTGGGTTTATGTGTACACACACACAAACTATACCTATGCACATACACTATACATACACTATACACACATGTGCACACATGCTACACACACTAAGCATACTACATGTACACCACACCCATGTGTGCATATACTACACACATGCACACATGTATACACAAATGCATACACATGTGCACACACATGCACATGTATATCCACACATCCATGAAATAAGCACACATAAGCACACATGAGTACATAAGCACATACACACACATACACCTGCCTCGTCAGTGTTAACAGGCTAACTGACCCTGTGTCTGGGGAGGAGTGACAGCAGGAGGGAGCACCGGGGGCCTCAATGCCACCCTCCTCCCATTGGTGGCTCCCCTGCCGGCACCCCACGTACACGACGCATCTTTCTAAGGCCGCCAGAGGCTGAGCACGCCAGGCCCAGCTGAGGTCCGAAGTGTCCGGTGAGCAGCGCCTGAGGCCTGAGTCACTTCCTGATCATTGCCTAAGAGGTGCCCAGAGTCACCGAATGAGTAGCCGGCTCGTGCCCTGGCAGGATTGCACCCGCTTGGGCAACGAGCACTTCCCTGTACCTGCATGCCCCACCCCCCCCTCATCCTGGGCTCACCCCTGAGCTTTGGTGGGCTCAGACGGGAGCCAGACCCCTCTCTGAAGAGCAGGTCCTCACCCCAGCCTGAAGCCCACATCTCGAGGTTTCTCTTTCTGCCCTGAGCACCTCTGGTAACTCTGGCCTCGGGGTTCCCAACTTTAGAGTCAGGGTCCCTTGCACTGTCGCCCGAAGTTGCAGGGTGTCACTTCCTTCTTCCCCCGCCAGTGGCAGGGGCAGGAGCGGGGGTGGGGTGGAGGCGATGTCAGACACCGCAGGGCTGAGTGTGGGGAAGAAGAAATGACTTTTTGTTTTGTTTTGTTTGGGGGCCACACTTGGTGGTGCTCAAGGCTTACTCCTGGCTCTGTGCTCAGGCATCAGCTCTGGCAGACTCAGGGAACCATATGCAGTGCCAGGGATCAAACCACCCGAGTCCACCATGTGGAAGGCAAGTGCCCTAGCCACTGAGCTATCTCTCTGGCCCCAGGAGAAATGATTTGAGCAGAAGTTCTATCCGCAGGACATGGGCAAGGCAGGTCATTAGAAACACCAGCCGGAGACAGAGGAGGGGAGAGAGAGAGAGAGAGAGAGAGAGAGAGAGAGAGAGAGAGAGAGAGAGAGAGAGAGAAGAGAGACAGACAGACAGACAGACAGAGAAAGAGAAAGAAAGAGAAGAAAAGTGCCTGTTTTACAAATTATTTCACAATGCCTTTTCAGCAGGTCTGATTTGGGGTTGTAAACTCTAAATAATAATGGTGAATCTTTTGTCGAAACAATGATCTAAGCAAAGTAGATAGAGTGTTAACTAGAATTCATCTGCCTCACAGGCATTGGAAGGGTTGGGGGGTGTTTATTGGGGTTCTTGGTGGTGAAAAATAAGTACTGGTGAAGGGAAATGTGTTTGATAATTGCATGACCGAGACTTAAACCTGAAAGCTTTGTAACTTTTCCCACAGTGATTAAATAAAAAAAAAAGTGCCTGTTTTAGAGTCAGGCTGTGTGTGTGGGGGGGGTGGAGATTTGGGGGGGTGAGGAACGTGGGGACACTGGTGTTGGGAAATGTGCACTGGTGGAGGGATGGCTGTTGGAACACTGTATAACTGAAATCCAGTTATACACAGTTTTGGAATGGTCTATTTCATGGTGATTCAATTAAAAAAATTTTAAAATAAAAAAATTACATCATGATGAAAAAAAAGAAAACAGAAACACCAGCCATACCCTTTTAAAGGACAATTCCTCTTGGACCTGGCTAGAGACTCCAGAACGAGGCCGTGTTAGAGACCGCAGCCCCGCTCGGTGCCTCCCCAGCTGTGCAACCCTCTGACAAGTTACCTAACCTCTCTGTTCTAGCCTCCTCTCCAAAAATGAGGCTAATGACAACACTGACTCACAGGCCTCTAAGCAGGATGAAGGGAGTTGTCCGTGTCAAGCATTTGGCAGGATGATTGGCCTGTGACAAAACTAAGTGTTTGGTAAATATTGTTTCACTTCCAATGGGCAACTCCTCCATTGATTCTCCACACAGTTTTTGATAACTTGTTGTGTGCCAGGGAGAAATCAGACTCCCGGCATGAAATCGTACCGATGCCCCTGGAGGCTGGAGCATCGCCGCTGGTGCAGCCCCCAACAAGACACAAACTCCTTGTACCCCATGCTACAGCACAGAGGATACAAATGAATTCTTTCCTTATCAAGGCGTCCTCTTCCTATGATGTGGTGAAGCATGAGTCTGTGCCCCCCGCCCCTCCCCAGACCAGGGAAGGGTTGCACCGGCCAGGCCAAGCATCCTACCTCTTGCGACCCTTCTCTGCACTCTCCAGGAAGTGCCCTGGAATGCTCTGGATTCCTTTGAGCACAGAATTCCCTTCAGGCTGCCCAACCACCAGCCCAGGTGGCCCAGGGACCTGGCTTGTGATTGCCCCCAGGGAGTTTTCAGAAGCAGCCAAACGCTGTGTTCAAACCAGAACATCTGAACTTGGACCGGAGTGCTGATTTTATAGAGGTCACGTTATTCCCCCGAGGCATAGAAATACTATTGTGATTGTGATTTTTAAAATTATTCTTATCTTCTAGAGATTCAAAAGCTCTTTAAAAAAACTTGTTTTTATTGACTCATCATGAGAAACACAGTTGCAAGGTTGTTCATAATTCTATTCCAGCCATACAATGTTCCAACACCCGTCCCTGAAACTGTTCAAGGTCCCCAGTTTCCCCCTCCCCCACCCGCCAGCCTACCTCTATGGCAGAATATTTTCTTCACAAAAGCTCTTTTTGGTTTAGAAAAAATTTTTTTTTTTTTTAATTTTGGGGACATACCCAGAGGTGCTCAGGGCTCACTCCTGGCTCTGTGATCAGGGATCACTCCTGCTTGCAGGACCATATGGGGTGCTGCGGATGGGACCAGGGTTGGTTGAGTGCCTTATCCCCTGTACTATCTCTCTGACCCTGGGAAAAGATATATTTGTGTGAAATGAAGCATACTTGGTTTTACCCCCAAATTAATGGGAAAAGTGCTGAGAGAGAGCTCAGAGGTCAGGAGGGAGTTCCTTGCATCCACAAGAACTCAAGTTCCAACCTGAAGCTACATCCTCTCTCCCAAGCACCCAACGGGTCGGGTCGTGGTTCTGGTGGCCAGAGCAGAATCCCACATGAAAGGGAGCAAACACTGATTGGCTTTGTATCACAGTGAGTGTGACCCCTGAACCTCCGGAGTCCCCCAAGCAACAATAATTAAAAAAAAAAAGGACCAAGGCCCTGGCCCAGGGGAACAGGCTTGCCTTGCCGCATGAGACCTGGGTTCAATCTCTGCAGAAGCAAACAAGTCAATGATGGGAGAATTGACCAAGAATTGGGGGGCGCGGGCGGGTGGGGGGTGGGCTTGGGGTCATGCAGGCTCCCTAGACTCCGTATCAAAGCGTGGTACAGCCAAGCGCCTACGGGGGCAGCCGGTTTGCAAGGGGAGTCTGGGAGTAGGGGGTGTGAGTCTCGGAGCACGTGTCTGGCCTGTGTGGAGCCCTGGGTTTGAGTGTCACTGCAAAAACAAACAAAAAGTGCTGGCTCCCTCCCAGACCTAGTGAATCAGAATTGCATCTTAATCAAAATAAAACCCCCACGGGGCTGGCGTACGTGCCTGAACCTGAGACATCCTGGGTCTATGTTTGCAGCTTTCCAGAACAACAAAGCCAATGGGTTAGGGTTGGGGTTTTTTTTTTCCCCTTCCCTAAATTGTCTTAAAACAAACAAACAAAAAAGCCCCAGAGAGACGAATCTCCCGACAGAGTTCCCCGCCGAGGACCCCGGCTTCCCAGCCCTCGGGGGGGGGGGGGGGAAGAGCTCCCCGCGCCCCAGGGATGCCCCCTGCCCGGCTCTCGTGACTCGGGGCACCGTCCAGGGGGCGTCACCCCCCGCCTCCCCGCGCGGGGCGGGGAGGGGCGGGGCGGGGCGGGGCGGCGCTCGGCGCACCTGGGCGCGGCGGCAGGTGCGGCGCGTCGGGGCTCCCCGAGCCCCCGCCCCCGCGGGGAGGAGCGGCGGGCGCGGGGCGGGCCCGGCGGGGCGGCGGCGGCGGTGGCGGCGGCCGGGCCGGGGCGCCGGGAGCCCGCGGGCCGCGAACCGCACCGCCGCGCTGGGGACCGCCGCGACGACGGAGCGCCCGGGATGAGCCTCTCCCGGAAAAAGGGTTTTTACAAGCAGGACGTGCACAAGACGGCCTGGGAGCTGCCCAAGACCTACGCGTCCCCGACGCACGTCGGCAGCGGGGCCTATGGCGCGGTTTGGTGAGACCCCCGACGGGGCGGGCGCGCGCGCCCTGCACCCCATCCCCTTCTCCAAGCCCGCGGGCGCTGGCTGGGGGGCCGCGCGCCCCCCGGCGATCGCGGACCCTCAGGCCCCGTGCAAGGTGTCCCCGGGGCGGGGGGGGGGGGCGCGCCGGGGACACGGAGTCAGGGCAAGGGCCAGCGCGGGCGCCCTCCTTCCCTTTCTTCCTCCCGGCTTTGGGGGGGTGGGGTGGTGGGTGCCTCGATTGGGCTGCGTGGAGGTCGCTTCTGATTGCCCGGGACTGGGGGCATCACCGGGGACCCGGTTGGGCCCAGCGATCACCTAGGAGCAGTGATCTGTGAGCGGCGCGAGTGCGGTGCTCGGTGCTTAGTGCCCGGTGCGGGGTGCCTCTAGCTCATGACTGTGCCCAATCCTCCCTGCCCCATCCGACCTCCGGGCTGCTACCCCCGGTGTTGGAGGGCGAGGGGAGTTGCGGGGGGGGGGGAGGGAGGGGCGGGAAATGCATCTTCCCTCCCCAGCCGAGCCTGGAGGGGCTGCGAGGCCCCTGGCCCAGGCAGGCCGGCCGCTGGGCCTGGGCAGTGCTGACTCAGCCCGTCGTGCTGACCCGTCCGTGCCCCCCCCCCCCCCCCCCCCGCAGCTCGGCCATCGACAAGCGGTCAGGGGAGAAGGTGGCCATCAAGAAGCTGAGCCGGCCCTTCCAGTGCGAGATCTTCGCCAAACGGGCCTACCGCGAGCTGCTTCTGCTCAAACACATGCAGCATGAGAATGTAGGCAGCCGCGGTGGTGTGTGTGTGTGCGCGCGTTGGGGGGTGTGCCCCGGCCTGGTGGGTAGGGGGGGAAACCCGCTGAGAGTCCTGATTTCCTTCCTGCCCCCTCCCACCTTTGTTTCATGCTTTATTATTAGATTGAGGTGCTGGGGGGGTGGGGGTGGGGGGCGCAGGGGGCCTGTGGCTCAGTGCTCTGTGTGGTGCGTGAGATCTTGGGGTTCCATCCTGGGCCCTTGGATCCCTCCCAGAACCAGGGGCGAATCTGGGCCCCCTTGTAAAGCCGGGGCTGACTTTTCCGGGGGCTTGGGCATTCTGCATCACTCCTCCAGAGGGTTTTCTGGGCATCCCCGGCAGGGGGGCAAAATAATCTGTGACAGGTGCAAACTGACTGTTAGAAGGAACTGGGCCCAGAGGCAAGTTGCCAGTAGTTCTAGAAGTAGGAGCCGGGCCCAGGATCCTGGGTAAAGTCCTTTCCACGTGTGACCCTGATAATTCCATTGAGGATAAGGCACTTGCATGTGGCCAACTCCGGCTTAATACCCAGCCACCGCATATGGTCCCCGAGGGATCTGCCAGGAGTGATCCCTGAGTGCAGAGCCAGGAGTAAGCCCTGAGCACCACTGAGCAGGACCCCAGATCCAGCCCCCCCCCAAAAAAAAAAGAAAAAGATTTTTTAAAGTGTGTCGGTTTTAATCCTCGGCAGACCCCTCCACCAGGCCTCTGAAGGCAAGGCAGCCAGCAGTGTGAAAGAGGACAGCCTGCTGGCTGGTCAGCGGGTTCCTGCTGGTGCCCTGAATACCAGACTAGGGGATGGGCACAGAGCTTGGGGGTGTACCCCACACCCGGCTCTATTCCTGGGCACTGGAAAGCTCCCTCTGGATCAGGGAAGTCCTCACGACTTCCTAAAAGACCGGAATCCGGCTGCCTGCTGGGGTTGGCATGTGGGGAAGGTGCGTGGCCCCCACGCTGAGACCCCTCATGCCGGATCTTCCCCAGGTCATCGGGCTCCTGGATGTCTTCACGCCGGCCTCCTCCCTGCGCAACTTTCAAGACTTGTGAGTGGAGCTGCACTGGGTCCCTGTGTCTTGGCAACCTTTGGCGTTGGGGAACGCACCGGTTCTCTCTTCTCAGGGGCTGGGAGGAGGCTTGGCCTCCCTGTGAGCTCTGGGTTCGAGTCCCAGCATAGGATCAGGTTCTGTCCTTGGGTAGAGGCTCTCCCTGCTTCTTGGAGGCCCTGTTCTTTTGGGTGTTGGGGTTAGGATTTGCCCTGGAAAGATTCTTTCAACCAAGTGTGGAGGGAAAAGCCAGCAGGAAGAAGTGGGCGGGGCTTTGTGGGATCCCACATTGCTTTGCATGTTCCGCAGTTGTGGCCCTGACTTAGTGGCCGCCACTCAGAGGGCTGGAAACAGCTCATTGTCCCACCACTGCCCCCCCCAATTAACCCCCACCCCCAGGTGCAGGACTGAATATTGGGGGCTCTTCCTACCATGAGAGGGGTCAGAGAGTCTGAGCTGTTTCCAACTGATGGGGCGTTTGACAGTCACCAAGACAAAACTTGAAGTTGCCAAAGGCCTGGTTGTGCTGGGTAGTGTGTGGTCTAACATTTGGAAAGTTCTGGGGCTGGAGTGATAGCACAGTGGGTAGGGCATTTGCCTTGCACGCGGCCAACCCGGGTTCGATTCCCAGCTCTCATATGGTCCCCTGAGCACCGCCAGGACTAACTCCTGAGTGCAGAGCCAGGAGTAACCCCTGTGCATCACCAGGTGTGACCCAAAAAGCAAAAAAGAAAAAAAATGGGAAAGTTCTGGGTTTCCCCCATAACCTATTTCAAATGCAACCAAAGGCCTCTTTACTCCCCAGCCTTTGTTTTCCCTTGAAGGTGATCGTTTTGAATGGACCTCTGCTTGCAAAGAACTGCTGGCCCTAGCCTGGGAATTTAAAGCGGGCAGTAAGGGGACTGCGGGTTTCGGTTCGAATATTCATGGAAGAGGGACCCATGTGCTGGGACTGCATGCCACCTTGGGGGGCTTCATAGAGGAGGCAACATTTGACCCCCATCCTGAGAGATGAGAGCACACTTGCCTGGAATAGAAAGATTTTGAGGGCATCCCAGAAGAAACGGCCTGGGCTGAGGTCTGGTGCCTCCATGTGTGAGATCAGACTGTTGGGGTGACTTGAGACGGTTAATGAGGCAGGGGGAGGCCAGCGGTTGGTACGGTTAAGCTGAGTGCCCAGACCTCATCCATAGCCTGCCTCATGGCCACAGAGGTGATAAGGGGTCAGATCAGTTTTAGGGAGTCCCCAGGGGACAGGAGAGAGGAGAAGAGAAGGAGGGGCCAGAAGGGGAGGGTCTGTGGGGTGATGGCAGAGATCCATGTTAGCACCCACGTAAAGTAGGGGGTGTTGATGGGGGTGTTTGGACTGCAACTGGCAGTACTCGGAGACTGCTTTTTTTTTTTTTTTTTTGCTTTTGCTTTTTGGGTCATACCCAGCATTGCTCAGGGGTTACTCCTGGCTCATGCACTCAGGAATTACTCCTGGCGGTGCTCCGGGGGTCATGTGGGATGCTGGGAATCGAACCTGGGTCGACCGCGTGCAAGGCAAATGCCCTACCTGCTGTGCTATCGCTCCAGCAGCTCAGGGACTGCTTTTGGCTCTCTGCTTAGGGATTACTCCTGGCAGTGCTCAGGGAACCATAGGTGGGGCCAGGGATTGGGCAAGCGGCTTAATGGCCCATGAGGCTGTAGAGCCGTGGGGATGCAGAGACAGGGGGAGGTGGGGAGGGACATCCGGGAGGCCAGTGCTCTAGTTGGAAGCAAGGTGGAAGAAGATGTATCTCGGGAGAAAGAGCAGGGACCACATTTGGGACACTTGAATTTTTTATTTTTTTATTATTATTATTATTTTTTTGCTTTTTGGGTCACACCTGGCGATGCACAGGGGTTACTCCTGGCTCTGCACTCAGGAATTACCTCTGGCAGTGCTCGGGGAACCATGTGGAATGCTGGGAATCAAACCCGGGTCGGCCGCATGCAAGGCAAACGCCCTACCCGCTATGCTATCGCTCCAGCCTCAGGACACTTGAATGTTTGAAGAGCTTAGGTGTATTCAGATCTTTTGGTTGTTAGTGTTTTCGTTTGCTTGCTTTGGGGTCACACCTGTCTGTGTTCAGGGTTCTGCACTCAGGGATCACACCTGGTGGGCTCAGGGGATGATATGGGCTGTCAGGGGATCGAACCCGAGTCAACCACGTGTAAGGCAAGTGCCGATGTGCTAAACCATCTCTCGTGCCCCATGAATATTTTCTTTCTTGGGGAAGGGGGTGTGAGGGCACACCTGGCTCTGCACTAAAGAATCATTCTTGGTGGTGCTTCGGGGACTATATGGGATGCCGGGGATCAAACCCGGGTCAGTCACATGCGAGGCAATGACTCCAGCCCAGAACGTTCAGTTCTTTAATCAGCGGTTGCTAGTCAATCCAGACCTCAGCCAGGCAAGATCAGGGGGTTCAGGCTCAGGGAGAACATGGTCCAGACCCTGGACTGAGATATTAAGGTTGGAGAGGAAATCCGTGGAAGGAACCAAAGAAAAAGAAACCCAGGGAGACTGATCAGAAGTGAACGAGGCGAAGACGCTTGAGCGAGGGTCAGACTTGCAGAAAGGCCAACATAAAGGGGGTGCGGGGGGGTTGTCAGCTCTTCACTGGTGAGACCAAACCGCCCAGTTTCAGTGATGCAGTGAGAACAGACGCCGCACTGCCCGTCACGGTTGCTGTAGGGACACAAGAGCCAGCAAAGGCCTGGAAGAAGGAAGATCAGAGGAGGGTGGATCTTGGGCAGAGGCTCACGTGCTTCCACTGAGAACAAAGCACCAGCAGGCTGAATGGAGGAAGAATGAAGGTGGGCGGGGACAGGGTGGGAAGAAGTGGTCGGGCGAAGGAGGCGGCCCCATCACAGGTCACAGCTTGGTCCCCTCCCCTGCATCCTCCTATTTCTTAGCTCTCCTTTTTATTTTTCTTTTATATTATATATTTATATATTTTTATATATTTTTTCTTTTACAATTGTGTATATATATATTTTTTCTTTTTTCCTTTTTGGGTTACACCTGGGCTGAAGCCATAGCACAGCGGGTAGGGCATTTGCCTTGCAAGCGGCCAACATGGCCGACCTGAGTTCGATTCCTCCGCCCCTCTCGGAGAGCCCGGCAAGCTACCGAGATTATCTCGCCCGCACAGCAAAGCCTGGCAAGCTCCCCGTGATGTATTCGATATGCCAGACACAGTAACAAGTGTCACTATGGAGACATTACTGGGCCCGCTCGAGCAAATCGATGAACAATGGGAGGACAGTGATACAGTGATACTTGGGTTACACCTGGCTCTGCACTCAGGAATCACTCCTGGTGGTGCTTGGGGGACCATATGGGATGCTGGGAATCGAACCCTGGTCGACCGCATGCAAGGCAAACGCCCTACCCGCTGTGCTGTCGCTCCAGCCCCATATATATATTTTTTTAGTTTGGAGAATCACACCAAAAGCAACAACCACAAAGTGGTGATTTTGAGTAAGGAATGCTCAGTGGTGTCACTTCCAGTGGTGCTGGGGTACCATGCCGAGTGCTAGGGGTTGAGCTGGGGTTGGCTGTGGGTGAGACAAGTGTCATCCCCACTGCAGTATCTCTCTGTGCCTTAACGTTCCTCCCAGACTGGGCTGCTCCCCCCTGGCCTGTGCTCCGTGGCTGGTCTCCGCTGGTTATGCAGGCCCCTAAGAGGGGGCAGCCCCTGCTCTGCCCCTCCCTTCCCCTTCCCTCTCGCCTCCCTCCACCCTCTTTCCACCCTGACTGGAAGTGGTTTCATTGTTTCCTTCTTGGAAGATCAGAAGTTTGGGGTTCACCCAAGTCATCTCAGCCAGGCATGACCTCTGGGAGCAAATATTTGAAGAGGCAGAAGGAAGTGTTGGCAGTGCTTCTTACCACCTCCGAGCCTCTTGGTGGGGCATGCAAAAGGGTGGTGAGCGGGCACCTTTGCAGAGTGGGACCCTGGCTCTGGACACGCTCCAAGGGAAACACTTACCCTGGACTCGGGCAGCCGGGTGGTGGTCACTGCCAGGCTGGGAGCCAGGAGGCCTATTGCCGGTGCTGGCCAGCTGTGTGGGGTGGGTGGGTCTTCACAGGCTGTCATTCATCTCAATGGCCCCTGCTATGTCACACCCCTTGCTCACCCCCCACCACACACACACACACACACACACACACACACACACACACACACACTGACTCAGACCTGGCGCGGGTGGGACCAGGGACATTTCTAGAAGTCCATGTGCCTTGCAGCTACCTGGTGATGCCCTTCATGCAAACGGACCTGCAGAAGCTCATGGGCATGGAGTTCAGTGAGGACAAAGTCCAGTACCTGGTGTATCAGATGTTTAAGGGTCTCAAGGTGGGTCTGGGCACCTGCAGGATGGCAGAGGGGCCGCTTTGGTGCTGAAGCCTGATATAGGGGGGTGGGGGTAGGGGAGGCCAGGAGAGAGGAGTTGGGAGTGGGGGGACAGGGGCTTGATTCTCACATTTCTCTGTCTCCCCCATGCAGTATATCCACTCGGCGGGGGTCGTCCATAGGGTGAGTGGCCGCTGCTGGGGGTGATCAGCTGGGCTGGGGGAGAGCTGGCTGGGGGGAGGGTGTGCTGCTGGGCTAGGGGACAGCCTATCAGGCCAGGGCCCGCTTCCCCCTCCCACAGGACCTGAAGCCGGGCAACCTGGCTGTGAATGAGGACTGTGAACTGAAGGTGAGTGGACTGCAGGCAGGGCTGGTTCCAGGTGCATTGGGGGTGGCTGGGGCAGGGACAGGGCTCTCCCATAGGATCCCCACCCCAAGCAGCTCCCGGAGTCTCCCCTCCTCAGCGGGCTCTTTCTCCCAATGTCCCCTGAGTCATAGATCTTGGATTTTGGGCTGGCACGGCACGCGGATGCGGAAATGACAGGCTACGTGGTGACACGCTGGTACCGTGCCCCGGAGGTGATCCTCAGCTGGATGCACTACAACCAGACGGGTCAGTATCCAGGCTGGTGGGGCCCGGGCTCCCTGTCATCTCTGGCACCGTTCTGGCCAGCTGACACATCCTTCCCCTCCCTCTGCAGTGGACATCTGGTCTGTGGGCTGTATCATGGCGGAGATGCTGACGGGCAAGACTTTGTTCAAAGGGAAAGATTGTATCCTTCACCCGTGCTTGAGTGGGATAAAGTCCTTCTGAGATACTTTTTACTTCTGTCAGTCTCCCTGCCTCTGTCTCTGTCTCTTTCTCTGTCTCTTTCTCTCTCTTTTTTTGCTTTTTGGGTCACACCCAGCAATGCACAGGGGTTATTCCTGGCTTTGCACTCAGGTATTATTCCTGGCGGTGCCCGGGGGACCCTTACGTGATGCTGGGAATCAAACCCGGGTCAGCTGCATGCAAGGCAAACGCCCTACCCGCTCTGCTGTCATTCCAGCCCGTCTTTGTCTCTTTATCCGTCTCTCTCTTTGTTTTTCTCTTTCTCTCTCCTCTCTTTTCCCTCTCTCTCTCTCTCTGTCTGTCTGTCTGTCTGTCTGTCTCTCCCCTTCTGCCCCTCTCCTCCCCACACCAACTCCTTTGTTTAGTTTTGGGCCCACTCAGTGCAGTGCTCAGGTCTCTCTGTATACCAGGCATCAAACTCAGGGTCCACTTGAATCACATCCACCATCCCCTGTCCTTTTCATTTGTTTGGGAGGAGTATTTGGGGGTATACCCAGTGTTCCTCGGGGGTTACTCCTAGCTGTATGCTTAGGGATCACTCCTGGTGGGATGCAGGGATCACATGTGGGGCCGGGACTCGAACCCGAGCTGGCTGTGTAGTGTCACTGCGGCCTCATTATTCTCTCATTAGACTGTGACCCGTGTTCCTGTAGTAGCCATCATGTGCAGAGAGAGGCGCCACACAAGCTGGGGCCCATCTGTGGTTTGGGGAATACCTGGTGTGTGTGTGTGTGTGTGTGTGTGTGTGTGTGTGTGTGTGTGTGTGTGTTTGTGGTGGCATCAGAGGAAGGTGGGGTTGGCGAGTGCTCGGTGGACTGAAGCACATGCTGTGCATGCGGGACCCCAGGTACCATCCCCGTTACCTCATGTACCCCAAGCACAGCTGGGAGCTCAGGGCTGAGGCTGACAGGTGTGACCCCAAAAGGACTGGGGTATGTGGTGTCTCTGTCACTGTGCATCATGGGAAAGAGGACAAACAGAGTCCCTGTCACATGAAAGTGACGGAATGAGGGTCTGGGAGCGTTTGTGGGGACCCCAACCCCAGCCATGCAGGTGGAGAAGCCTTCCAGAGACCCGGGTTCTAAGGGGGGACCCTTGTCTGGAAAGAGGGGACAGTTAGGCGCAGTTAGCTCCCGGGACACGGGAATCCACGGCCGGGCTGCCAGGACAGAGGGGTGACAGGAAGGGCAGCCTGGGACCCCAAGCAAGACGGTGTCCAGCCTTAGCTCAAGGCCAGACCTGGACCAGCTGTCGCAGATCCTGAAGGTGACAGGGGTGCCGGGCGCAGAGTTTGTCCAGAAGTTGAACGACAAGGCGGTGAGTGGCCGGGGGCTACGGGGGGCCTCAGCCATGCACCCCGCTCACCAGGGCTCTGACTGGCAGAGGAGGGTTCACCTCTCCTTCCTTTCGTCCCCTCTTTGAACTCTGACCTGGGCCTTTTGCCATGTATCCCCAGGGAGGGGAAAGGGTGGGGATGTAGGGGTGCAGTGGGGGGGGGAGCTCTGTTGAAAGCCAGATTTCCAAAAGGGTGCTGAGTCTTTTGTTTTTCTACAAGGGGATTTAGGGGTGCAGGGTACTGGGCTTTTTCTGGAATCTGGGACCATCCCAGGCCTGTGCCGGATGGAGGTGCGGGGCTCGGGGGCTGGGGTGGCCAGGACACTCACTCATACCCATCTCTCTGCCAGGCCAAATCCTACATCCAGTCCCTGCCTCAGAGCCCCAAGAAGGACTTTTCTCAGCTCTTCCCACGTGCCAGCCCCCAGGGTGAGTCTCCGACTGGGCATGGGGAGAAGGGGGTGCCCTCCTGGGCCTTGGGAAGAAGGGGGGTGCCCTCCTGGGACTGGGGGTGGCTGGGGGTGACTCACATGCTCTTGCTGCAGCCACTGACCTTCTGGAGAAGATCCTGGAGCTGGACGTGGACAAGCGTCTGACGGCCACGCAGGCCCTCGCCCATCCGTTCTTTGAACCCTTCCGGGACCCTGAGGAGGAGACGGTGGCCCTGCAGCCCTTCGACGATGCCTTGGAGCATGAGAAACTCACGGTGGATGAGTGGAAGCGTAAGCCCGCCCTACCCCTTCAGTTCCCCTCCCTCTCCCTCCGGGGTTCCCTCCGCCTCCCCGCCCGCTGTCTCACTGGGGAGCTCTCTGAGCCCTCCAGCCCCCTCCCCCGGAGCCCCCCTGAACCCCTACCTCCCGCAGAGCACATCTATAAGGAGATCGTGAACTTCAGCCCCATTGCCCGGAAGGACTCAAGGCGCCGCAGTGGCATGAAGCTGTAGTGACGCTGCCAGCCAGAGCCCAGGGATGTCGGCCACAGGCTCCCCTGCACTGCCTCAGTGTTCACTGGTCCCCACCAAAGTCAGCCCTTCTGGGGCGAAAACCTTCCCAGCCGAGGCGTCAGCGGGCCCTGGTTCCCTGTGACAGGACTCCCCCAGGCTCGGCTGGAGGGAAGAGTGGGGACCGCGGCAGCCCCATTAAAGCTGCCGCCTGAGCATCACTGCTGTGTGGGGTCTGTTCTTTCACCACGGTGGGGATGCAGAGAGCCGGTGGACAGATGCACCTGTGGTCCTGCAGGGTCCCACAGCCGGGTGACCTGCACCAGCAGGAGTGCGTTCTCTCATGGTTCTAGAATATACTCAGGGCGGGCTGGCGAGATAGTACAGTGGGGACGGCACTTGCCTAGCTCGTGGCTGGTCTAGGTTCAATCCCCAGCACCCCACCCGGTCCCCCAGCACTGTCAGGCATTATCCCTGAGCACAGAGGCAGGAGTCAGCCCTGAGCACCAACAGGTGGCCCCCACACTCCTCCCCCCCCCAAACAACAAAAATAGGATGTACTCTGGAATGGGGCTTATCAGCTGCAGGGCTCACAGTAGACATGGGAGACTGAGTCCTAGGCTGGGCCGTGCACCTCTGTCAGGCCTCAGTGCCACATCTTTGTGGCTGTGGGTGGGTTTTCTGGCCTTCCCTGGATTCTCTGGGCATGATGCCGCCTCCTTCAGCCTATCTTCACAGCCAGCTCCCATGGCCGTCTGACCTCACCCTGTTTTACGAGACCAGGGTCATTAACTTCCGGGTCCACCTGACTCCCATGTGATCGCATCTCTGTCTCAAAGCATCCGAGTTACAGAGGCTCCGTTTGTGGGCCGGGTCAGACTGGGAGGTGTGGCCATCATTGCCCGAATCTGTTCTTTGTTTGGGGGCCACACCCAGCGGTGCTCAGGGCTCAGGTGCCTCTGACAGGAGTGACCCGTGAGTGCAGAGCCAGGAGTGAGCCCTGAGCACCACTGGGTGTGCCCTTCCCCTCCCCCAAAACGCCAGTGTCAAACTGTCACCATAGGTGATACCGAGGCTCAAACCTCTCTCCCTCACAGGCAAGGCAAGCACCTCACCGGCTCTGCTATCTCTCCTCCATGCCCTGGTGCTCTTTAGTTGTTGTTATTTGTTTGGGGGCTACACCCAGAGAGGCGTAGGGCTTATTCCTGGCCCTGGGAGGGCTCGGGGAACCATAGGTGATGCTGGGTTGAACCTGGCGTGGCTGCATTCAAGGCGAGGACTTCGCCTGCTGTCCTGTCTCTCCACATTCAATTCACTATGGAGGGCCCCGGGGAAGGGCTCCTTCCTGGCACCCGCCTGCTCCTGTGCCGAACGTGTTTGGCTTTTAAATGAAAGCTGCGGCTGAGAATTGCAGCTGGTGAGACAGACATTGTCGTTGTGTTCGGGTTATTTTGGGTGAGTGATAAGCAATCAAGCTCGGAACCAAGAGCAGGCCATTGACGGGGGTCTGACGGGAAGCGGCAGGAGGAAACGGGCTCCTTCCAGGTCAAGCAGTCAACAGCTCTGTTCCTCCACCTCTGGGGGATGTGACCCCACAGAGCTGTAGCCCGAAGAGGGCCAGCAGGTCTCCAAATGGAGGTTTGAGAAATATGGGTTAGAATAAGCTTCTCTCCCAGGGAGAGGGGCGTCAGGCCCTCCATTCTGTTCTGCGTCACCAGCGAGCCTGCATCCTGGGAGCCTGGCTCCCATGCAGATCCCGGATGCAGGTGGATGGGGTCTCTGGAGGAGCATGAGGACTCCCTTACTTTGATTCATGCTCAGCGAATCTCACGGGTGTCAGTTCCTGTTCAGAGAAAGACGTCATCGACGTGAGCGCCAGGCCCTGACTCTGTTCAGTGGCATCACAGGTGCCTTACCGAAGCCCTGTCATAGCACTTGCTCCCATCAGGCAGAGGCACAGACAGGCTCTAGGGTGATGAGACTGTTCCCCAGCCCTGGGTGCTGGTGGATCCACGACGTTATGCCTGAACAGAGGTAAAGCAACCAGGACTTGCCTCTGTGACACCTCACTGCCAAGTGTCGTGTCCGAGTTTCAGATCCCCAATTACAGAGAGACCAAGTCCACACACGATAATGCAAAAGCAAAGGGACTTTTTATTAGTAGCCCGAGCCAGCACTAGCCCAAGCTAGGGTCCAAGTCTCATCCAACACAGTGAAATCTTGAAAGGATCCCAACTCCAAATCATAACCGGTTTATATAGGGTTCAGAATTAAGAAGCAATTTATATACTGGTCTATTTTTAGCATTGGCCCTATTACAACAGTGGTCAACAATTAGACAATGGTTAGTAACAGTTTCTTTTTTTTTTTTTCCTTTTTGGGTCACGCCCAGTGATGTACAGGGGTTACCCCTGGCTCTGCACTCAGGAATCACCTCTGGCGGTGCTCAGGGAACCATATGGGATGTTGGGAGTCGAACCCGGGTTGGCCGTGTGCAAGGCAAATGCCCTACCCTCTGAAGTAACAGTTTCTAAGGAGGGTACAGTGACCCCTCATGACTGGCCAGACCCAACTGCCCAATTTCTTATCTCGGCAAATTACTCAACCGAGAGTTTACCAGAAACTGCAAATCGTGCTTTGGGAAAACAGAAATTGAAGCCTAACTGAGACTTAATGTTAGTTGCAGTTTGTCACAGCATCAGTTTCACCCTCACACAAGGAAAAGCCCCACCTTGAGGCCTGGCCTTTGGGACTCTGAGCCTGAGTCTGTCAACCGCACGTCTTCTACTTTCCTTAGGTCGGCCTGGTCTGCCAGGATCCAGTCCAGGGCTGGACTTGGAATCCCTTCCTCTGCCTTGGAAAGAATTAAAAACTCTGACAAAGGAGCTGGAGCAATAGCACAGCGGGTAGGGGGTTTGCCTTGCACACGGCTGACCCGGGTTCAATTCCCAGCATCCCATATGGTCCCCCATATGGGTGTAACCCAAAAACCAAAAAAAAAAAAAGTCTGACAAGTGTTGTAAAAGTTCTGTTCAATGCTATCAGATCCAGGGACTGGAGAGATAATATATACAGGTAAGGCACACACCTTACACGTGACTGACCCCCGTTCAGTCACCAGCATTGCCTATGGTGCCCTGTGCACTGCCAGGCATGAGCCCTAAGTGCAGAGCCAAGAGTAAGCTCTGAGCACCACTGGGTAGACCCTTCTCTTCAAAAAAAAAAAAAAGTGAAATCCAGAACTTTCCAAATGTTCTGAACCACAGCCCTAGTGCTCCTGGGAGCCGGCACTCATGGGACTCTCTCTGCCCAGGAGTCCAGTCGGATCCTCATGCAGGAGTCCCCATGGCTCCTCACTGGGTGACCCCTCCTCATCCTTCAAGCCTCACGGGGGCCTCCCTCTCAGAAGTCCTTCTCTACTATCCTCCTGGAGGACCTACGGGTTTCCAGGCCTGCCCTGCTCCATGAACAGTGCCCGGTTCGTCTCCTCTAACCCCCTTGCCCACTTTGAACCCTTTCTTGGGACAGAGATCTGTGAGTGAGTGAGATGAGCGAATGACAGCCAGGTGCCGTGGGCCATGCACTGTCCTGACCAGCCCAGATGGAATCGTCTGGGAGGGCATGGCAGCCAGCAGCCTGGCCTTTGGACTTGCTTTCCAGAAAAAGCTCGAGGCTCTTGTCTCCCTCCAAGACCTCTCCCCACCCTCCCTCCTACTTCTCAGCCCCTTTCCTTCCCTGTCGATAAAACCCTCCACCCAGGTTCAGCCTGGTGACCTCAGCCCGGGAAGTTCCTCTGGAGGAAGGTGTTGACGGGGCCAGGGGGTCACGTGACTCTGAGCCTCACCCTACAGGCACCCGCCAGAAGGAGACAAGTGTGGGTTTGGGCTGGTGGGCGCAGAAGGGCTATGCTTGGGGGCTGTGAGCTCAGCTTCCCTCATCATTGATTTGCAGAATCCCTGACAGCTCATATGCCCCCAGCTTTGGGGGGAGGGGGGGAAGGGCTAGGATTCTGGGATTTCCTCTGGAGACAGTGGAGGGTGCTTGAGGAGCTGACCCCTCAGCACCAGCCTGCCGGGATGGCTGAAAGACCGCAGAACCCTGCGCGCAGAGATGTGGGGTTGCCAATGCCTGTCTCAGCTCAGCACCCGCGCCATTACCAGGCTGCATGGGTCAGTGCATACAGCAGGGGGCGCTCTGGGGTGACCCGAGCTATACCCGCTGGTGCTCACCTGCAGTGCGCAAGGAGCCAGTGATTTGGGGGATCCAGCTCAGGGCCTTGCTCAGGTGTGGCACGTGCTCTGTCCCTTGAGCCCTCTCCCCCACCCCGTGTGACAGTGGTCCCTCCTCCAACCCCAAGGGGTCTTGGTGATTGTTCTCAACCACGGGGGCCAATTCTGCCTTGGCCCTGCCCACTGTACTAGCTCTCTAGCCCTTGCATTCTTTCAGGTGTTGCACTCAGGGTGCGGACACCCCATCCCTCTGCCTAACGCCCTCTGGGTGGCAAGAGCAGGCTCCAGAGTCTATCTGCCTGTGTTCATTTCCTCACGAGGACCCTGTCTTGGCCCAAGAATCTCTTGGCTTCCGGGAGGGCTCTGAGACCTGCAGCCTTTTCTGCAGAGTCAAGTGGGGTTGAAAGCAGAAGCTCTCACCTAAGAACTGGTACAGAACTGAGCTCTGTGAGTGGGGGGTGGGGTGGGGGTGGGGGTGGATTCAGATAGTGAGATGGAAACACTCTGGTGTGTTGGTGGGACGTTGTGTGCAGTATTGTGTATCTTGACACCCCAAATAAAAAAAATGAAGGAAGTGAAAATACAAGCGTGGGCTTTGCATCCAACAAGACCCGAGGTTGAGCCAAGAGAGGGTTTTGTGTGACTCTGTGTGACTCTGTGTGACCCTGTGTGACTCTGGTTGAGGCAAGAGAAGGCTTTGTGTGACTCTGTATGACTTTGTGTGACCCTGTATGCCTCTGGGGGGTCAAGTGACAGGTAGGGCCTGACATGACGTGTAGGCTTGACATGTGATGCGTGTA